CAGAAGACAATAAGTTTGTTAAACCACAGAGAAAACGGAGGTGTTCTGTATGCACACAGGAACTGCCTGAGACGGCAGACGGCGCACGAGCCCCTGCATCCGCATCAGCAGGAGAAACGGCCGCTGCGGGAAAAGCAGCAGCAGCAGCAGCAGGGGCATCGCTACCTCTGCAGGAGCAGCTGCGTCGCTGTCTCTGTCGCACTCTGTCTGCAGTTGTGAGCTGCCGAGTGAACGAACGGTCAGCGGGGGGTCAGCAGCATTTGGCGCTGCACTTTCCTTTTTTTTCTACAGCTGCTGCTTTTCCTATTGCCCCTCCTGTACCTCCAGAGACCCTCCCGCTGCAGTACCGGCAGCAGCTGCAGCAGCAGCAGCAGCAAACCCACCAAGTCCTTGCATCCTTCCATGCCACCCTGGACGAACCACTGGACTCCGTTTCGCTTCATGTTGGCGTCAGTCATCCTGGTGCGCTGCAAGAAGATGATAAGAATCTGTATTCTTCCTGTTGATCTTCTTGTTATTCCTTTTCTTCTTGTTGTTCTTGTTGTTTTAGTTTTTGTCCTCGTTATTGATCTGTTTGTGGTTTTTATTATTCTTTTTCTTCGTGTTCTTCTTCCTATTCTCTTTCTTGTTTTTGTTCTTCTCCTCTTCCCTGTTGTTAGCGATCTTTCTCTATCACGGTTTCACGCGTGCTTCCTGTGCTGTATTTTTGTGTTGTCGTTCATCCTGCAAATTTCAACGATGCATGCTTGCCTGCCTGCATACGCGAACGCATGCATGCATATACTTATGTTCTCCCCCGTGTGTATGCGCAGGTCTTCCTAGGCCTATTGAGGCTCTTGTGGCTGTTCCCCTGCCCCCTCAGCTGTCTGCCATGAGAGAAGAATACGTCCGCAGCAACTCCGTCGCAGGCGAGCCCTCCACTGCGTACCACCCGTCTCCAGTATCTTTCTGTGTAGACATCCCCTTCAGCTCTGTTCGCAGCAGCAAACTGCAGCAGCAGCAGCAGGAGCAGCAACAGACAGCAGAAACAGGGGCAGAAGTCGGCAAGGAATTCTCCCAGCAAAGTCGTTCTGTGAACTCTATGCACGATCCACAGCCACAGGGGTCCTGCGTTGTGCCGCTGCCTTCGTTTCTGTCTCTGGAGACGGCTGCAGCTAGAGATAGGCGGCTACAGCAGCAGCTGCAGCAGCAGCCGTTGCTCTCTACTCCTGCCTGGGGGGAGCCGGTAACAGCAGATATTACTGCACTAGATATTGAAAGGGCAGCAGACGCCGCTGCTCAGCGGGCTGAAGCTCAGCGCAATCGTTCTATGCTTGCTGCTGCTGTTGTTTCTGCCCGCGCTGCTTCTGCTGTCGGCGTCGCAGAGGCAGTTGCTGCTGCAGCTGAGGCCCGTGCAGCAGCATCATCTGATGCTCCTACAACTCGTAAGATGCCCTTTTCTTCTGCAGCTACGCGGCTGCGCTCTGCCCTATCCCGGTTTCCTCATGCGGGCAATAGGGAGCAGGAACCACCACAATCAGCAGCGACAGCAGCAGCAGCAGCAGCAGCAGCAGCAGCAGCAGACGTCTCTCCTACAAGCTATGAAGGTGACAGCCCTACTGCCGCAGCAGCAGGTGCTGCTGCTCCTGGAGAGGCGGTGGAGGAGGCAGCGCCGGCAGCACGCGCGGCTTATCGCTCGGAGGCGCAGCACTCTGCCTCTCGGCCTGAAGAAGAGTCAAGAGGACCGCAAAGGGCGCCTTCGTCTCTGGCGTGTTCATTTCCTATAGAGTCATCGGGTCTAAAGGAAATTGCAACAGCGACAGAGAGAGATGAAAATGAAGCAAGCGCGGTTGAGATGTCCTCCTTAGCTTCAGTTCTCCCCTTTGAGTAAGGATTTGAACCCCAGCCTTCTTATCCCTGCATCCCTGCATGCATAGCCGCATGCATTCGTTGGCGTCCCACTTGCTCAGCAGCTGCTGCCGCTGCAGCGGTGCTGCCTCTGCTACAGGTTCCTTGTCAGTGCATGCAGCGTCGCTGTTGTTTGCGGTTTCGTTGTGTTTCCCCCCTTCTTGTGGCTAGCTGAGATCTCAACATGTCCTCAATTGCTGCTGCAGGAGTTGCTGGCGTCTTTCGGGATGCTTGAAAATTTGCCTCGTCGTTGAGCCTCTGCCTGGGGAGCGTCACCCCTCTGCAGGCCCCAAGTCAGCAGGTAAGCAGTCGATGGCTCTGAGGTGTATCGGCACCTTGCTGAAACTGAATGCGTCAGTGCTCGCGCAGTATTTATAAAACAATGAAAGCATTCAAAACACTTATCAAAGAAAGAAGAGGCAATAAGGGACAGAAAAGAAATACAGGAATCGATTGCATGCATGTGTACATGTATGCATCATATTCCCCAGGGGATGCTGGCATTTCTAATAGCAGAGTACTTTATGGGGCCCGGCGTAGTGGCTTGAGTTGTGTTGTATTGCGTTGTTTGTAGCTGTAGTTATCCTGTGTCTTGCTTTGCATTACTTTAGCTGTATCAGTGCTACAAAGTGCTGTGCTTCCTCTTTCTTTTTTTCTGTGTATTCCTTGTGCTGTTTTGCATGTGTTGTGTCGCGGTGTTTGTACTGAAGCAGCTAAAGCGATGCAACGCAAGACAAAGGGAAAATGAGTTTTGCTGTATTTATTTCTGTTGTATGTATTTCATGTTGCTGTACTCGTTCGTGATGTATTCCATTTGTTGTGGTGCATAGAGCGTACTAGCTTGTGTCGTTCATAACATTTGTATGCTGTATTGCGTTGCGTTCTCTTCTGCTTTCCTACTTTTCATTGTATTGCATTCACTACACATGAATTTTCATGTTATATTGTATCATGCTGTGTTATGTTTGTGTTGTATTATGTTGTGAAACGCTAATATTCTACTTAGTTGTTTCACTCTTTAACAAACATTAATACGATTTTCGATCAAAAGTAAATATCCACTCTTATTCAGCATGAAATTAATGCATATATGTATATGCATATATATATATATATATATATATATATATATATATATATATATATATATATATATAT